TATACTATAATATCCATTAAATTAAGTTTTATTATTTGTATTATCGTTTTAAAAAATAATTTATAAACAATTTTGTAAAAATTGAAAAAGATTAATATAATATTAATAATTTAATAAATCTATGTAATAATTTATCTCATTATTTATTTATTTAATAATTTAACTATATACTTTGTTTAATTAATACATTATTCAATGTTATTGGATTGTCAGTTTTTCCTATAATTATTAGATGTGATATTTATTAAATATAGTTATTAAATTTAATAAATATAATTTTTAATATCTTTGTAAGGTCAATTTAACTTATAATATTTTAATTTAAAATTTATTAAAATATATTTATTGGATTTAATTAAAAAATGATCATAAAAGTAATACATGCATATACATAAATAGTAAAGTATACCTATTGTTAATTTATTTTTTAGAATGATTAAGATATATAAATTGATCTCATCCAATTGATTCATTCAAGAGTAAAATGATATTTCTAATTGTGATTTAATGCTTAATTGAAAACTAAATACCTCAATTCTTAATTAAAGAATAAAAATATTAAATCACTCGTTGTAATAATTTTTAGTATTAAAACCTATTATAGAACATATAAAATAATTTATCTTATGTTTAATGTTATATTGTAACAAATACCACTACACTAATCTCATGTGCATTTGGTGAAGGCCAGAAAATATTTTTGGTAAAACTTTCTTAGTGTTTAGTTCCTATGGACTGGCCCAACATATATAGAGGTGACCTACCGAAAGAATATGCTAAATGGGAGTTAGTCTGAATAGGGATTGGTAAGCCCTGAAATGTCTCAAGCTAGCTGGCCCAGCCCAGGATCAAACCTTGGCTAACACTGAAATGAAATCAACAAGATATATATATATATACACCATAAAAAAATACATGTCCCCACAAATTGCTTTACATTTTCTTCAGGAATCAATAGTCAATTGTACCTAATTAAATACATTATACTTTAATTTACCATGGCAACCTAAAACAAATGTTTCAAGTGTCTAACATGTGACAGATCTAATGCCCTATACAAATCTCTGTAACGATGAAATGAACGATTTCTGACTTTCCATTTTCAACATATACAACAAAAACTCATTCCATGCATCAATAGGACCTGGCAAGCACCAATGAACACAATCACTATGAATCGTCACATTATTATTATTATTCATTTTACGTCCATAGACATAGTTATTAGGATGTCCATCAGGCCTCCGCAGCATAATTTCAGTGGTATTCATCATCAAAAATTTCAAACCCCTCTTCTTTGCTTTCTTTTCAGCTACTCTAAACTCCTCCACTTGAGTCGCATACATCTCAAAAATGTAGCCATCAAACTCAACATCTTCCTTGCTGTAAGGCCTTGTCCTCTCGCAACTACCTCCTTTGTTCCACTCAGCGTTCTCAAAGTGTGCTGGAGAGAATGTTCTCAAAAATGTCACCCCCTTGTACCCTTTGAGACTCGCTATGGTTCTCAATGCAGTTCGGAAGGCTTTTCTGTATCCATAGTAGTGACTAAGGTCTGTGATATTCTTCTGCTGGCACTTGTGGCACCCTACTTGTTGGCCTTTTTCGTAGAACATTAGTGGCCGAAAGAACCATTGGCCAGCTGAAATGATGACAAAGTCGAAGTTTTTAACCTCACTTGTCCATGATTCATCTGCCTTATCTAGATACAGGTTCATCAAGAGGCTGTTGTCAGAATGACCATTAAGGTCAGCATCGCTGGTCCTCACCAAAAATGGGGACCATAGTGTTACGAGGGTAAAATTGTAATCGCCATAGAACCACCGTCGGAAATATATGGGATCTGTACTGTATCTATTGGAAATATCCTCAGGACGAGCAACCTGAAAAAGTGAATCATAGAATCATGTTTTTTTGAGGATTATTGTCACTTATCTTCGTATTAGAGATGCATGTTTGTGTAATTAATGTACTGTAATATGTACGAAACGCATCAACCAAAAATGTTATGTCGTAAGGAGTGGAAGAGTAGCAGTAAAAGTGGACTTTGCCCAAGGGAGACACAAAGCCACTCTCTCTAGGTTTTAGTCCTCAAAAGGAATTAAACTTTTCTTGTTAGTTAGGAAATAGTTTTCATGCACTAAAAATGAAAATCATACGTTAAAGCCACTGCCTCTGGTTTTTTACCACTATTGAGATCTAATAGCAAGATATAATCAACTTAAATTCCACGTTAAAAGTTATGAATTTCTTTTAACAAAACTAGCCTTAATTTGTGGTGTAATTTTTCCAATTTCTTATCGTATTATGTTAGAAATATAAAATTATTTTTGGATCAAGTGTTATATATATTTGTTGAAATGATATATTTATTATTTGATCAATAATTAATCTTTATCAAAAAAATTAATTAACTTTTTTAATAATTTTTTTTTCGATTATATTTTTTTTATCTAGAAAATTCGAATTTAAAATCTTGTTTATCTTTGTAAATTTTACTAACAACATGGTGATATATTTATAAAATTTACTTAATATTTTTATGTGAATAAAAATATTCAAGAGAATGTAAATAATTAGTAGGATAGAAAGTGTGTGATTGATTACTTACTGATGATTACTTACATGATTTAGGAGGCACAACAAAGAATTCATTTGATTTCTCCCGACAGAGTCACCAACAAAGGCCATGGATTTTCCAGTGACAAGCTTCAAGAAAAGGGTAGCATCAAAGAGTGGAAGCTCGCACTCATGGGGCTTCCACCTCCATTTGAGGAACTCTCTGTCAGGTCTCCCAAACTTGATGCAGTTTTGCTGATCAATTATCAAATTGCAAGTCTCATTGTCGTAATAAGGTCCTTCACTGTACGGAACCCACTCTCCAGAGAAGACGTTGCATGTTTTCATCTCCGTGGTGACGTTAAAATCCAAACTACTGCTGGTGGCATATATCTCAGGAGAGGAAAAATAATTATGAGAGTTTCTAGAAAACGTTAACATGATGAGAAGCACAGCGAATGGAAGCAAAATAGCAACAACACTCTTGGTGTTGTTTCCTGACACGTACTTGCCATTGGCATTGAGAAGTTGTATGGAGCGGAATCTCATGACTGAGATCGATGAAATCTGCATCAGAAGCTTTGCAGAAACGGCTTATATAAATAAATATAGGTACGTGTACTTTGACGTGTGGATAGCATCAAAGATAAAACTCATTTGTGTCAGTAACTTCGCATTTGATATCATGGCTTCATGATATATATGTCACAGTTTTTGGGTCAAAGTGATCATTATACATAATTATACACCACGTGTTGAAAATAAATATATAAATAACTTATTTTCTTTTTTTATGGTAGAGATGAATAGAGCTACATTACCACGGGACCAAACTGTTTTAATATAGGTGAAAATTATGTTATATATAATTTCAATAGAGGATAACAATTGTATATATTTATTATTATTAAAATCACTACAAATCAATAACTAGTTTTTGGTTTAATTATTTTTTACTCATGTGTAAAATGAATGAATTTTAATTTTGATTCTTATAAAAATTTTCTTTATTTTTTATTTTTTAAAAATTTGTAAATATTATTTAAGTCTTATAAAATGAGTAAATTTTCTATTTCTTTAAAATATTTATTTGATTTTTCATTCGTCTAAATTCTAAAGTTATTACTTTTAGTCTTTTGACAACCAATTTAAAATAGATAAATAATATTTATTTTAATAATTTATAATAAAAAATTAGACGTATTACATATTAACAGTGGATTATATTTAGGATCACTACTTAATCTTTTAATAAATAAATTTAAAAATAATCATATAATATATACTCTCTATTTTTTATTATAAGTAAAAATACGTATATTAAAAAAATTAATTATTTACCTTAAATTTTATTATTCTTATAAGATTTTTTCTAAATTATTTGTTATAAATATTAATAGAAGTAGTACAATTAAAAGATTATGTATTATAAGAGAAACATTTTTGAGAAAATATCAAAAAATATGCAACATTAGTATATTTAAGAACTAAAAACATGTTTATTTTTCTTCATATAATAAAAAATAAAATAAAAAAATAGTGAGAGAATAACTTAAAAATAACCAACGATCAGATCAAATAATCACGTCTCTGAGCCTACTAACCAATTTTTAACATGATCCAATGATTAGCAAATCTGGGATCATGAAATGAAAAATTGTAGCTCGATGAAATACGGAGTGTGTGAACTATACCGTGATTTTTCCCCCTTTTCTCTTCTCTGTTAAGTGATAAAAAGGCCTACAAAAGTTATAATTTAAATTCAACCAGCTGTGTATACCATGTGAACAATGCAAAGACAAAGAAAAAATAATAAGAAGCAGCAAGTGTAAAGAAAGATGAGAAAGAGTTTAACAAAATAATATTCCAATACAAGTGTGAAGAGGATGAAATATAAGACCAACAAATAAAAGATCGAATTATCCTCACAAAGAAATGAAAATAACATAAATGTTCAATAACTCTATTATCTAATGATAGAAACTAATTAAAATCGATAGTTTTAAACTTTAGAAAGATAAAAAGATATTTTTTTAAGAAATCAAAATCAAAACTTCTTCATTTTGCCACTATTAAAATGATATTTAAGTCTTATTTTTTATTTTCATTTTAGCAAATAATTTCTAAATTTATCCAAATTTAGTCAAAAGGCTAATGAATATATAGTCCTTTTTATAACGTAATGTAATTGTTGAGTTAAAAGAACGCAGTGTAAGTCAAAATAGCTTTTATACATGTATAAAAGCTTAATGGTACGTTTTTATGTATTAATAATAGAGGGTGAGTTTGGATAAATCGTTTAATAAAATATTTATTCAATAAAGTATTCTTACTATATGCACATAGTAAACCAACCAAAAACAATAAAACCAACCAAAAAAAAAAAAAAAAGCAGAATAGTAAAGTGAAGTTGCCATGTGCCAAACGTTAGTTTCTATATTGAAGTCTTTGTTGTGGTAGGACTTGGCAGTTAATACATAATTACACTATGAAAGCAAAATTGAAATAATTAAACATAAAGCAATGCATATGTTGAAAAGTCTTTGGCACTTGACAGTTGGCACCACCAATGAAAACATTAAACAGGATAGATACAGATGGGGGATTAAGGGTAGTGTGTGTCAGTGCCAAATTTTCGACATTTCGTTATTCTTAAAATTTATTAACACGTGTATAAATAAAGTAAATTGAAAATAACATATCGACCTTGAGTCACTATACTTTATCGTGCATACATTGGATTTAAATATAAATATGTAATGAATATAATAACTGTACCACATAAAAATAATAATTAAAAAATGTTAAGAAAACATAATTGCGAAATTCCGTTACTTACTTCACTTTTGCAATAGTTTAAGTGCATGGGTGGACCTACCTTTTTAAATCACAGGCCAATTTATGGTCGCAAAATGAGCTTAAGATAGGAGAATATCCTGAAAAAAAAAATGAAAAAAAAATGTAGGACTGAAACAATGTTCCTTTCAGTTTATTAATAGCTTTAATTTAAGTTCCATCAAGTTATTTAATTTGGAAACTACTTGATGTTGGAATAGAATTTTATGGTGCTCCTCAAGCTCTAATTATTTGATTGAAAAAATTATTAATAGACGGTTGAGATTAAGGGGGGTGTATTGGATTAGGATTTTA